CGAAATAACCAAGGAGCCCAGCACAGGCTTGGATCCGTGTGGCTGCAGAACAGCTTTGCTGAGAGGGATCTGAGGCTCCCTGTGAACAACGGGCTGAACATGAGCCAGCAGAGCGCTGCTGCAGCAACCAAGGCAAACTGGATCCTGAGCTGCATCTTCAGGGGCATTTCTGGCAGGCAGAGGTGATCATTCCACTCTACTCAGTGCTTGTCAGGCCACGCCCGGAGTACTGGGTCCAGTTCTGGGTTCCATAACTCAAAAAAAGATGCAGACAGACTAGAGAAGGTCCAAAGGAGGGCCATGAAGATCAAAGGGCTGGAAACCTGCCCTATAAGTTAGGTCTTTTCACCCTGGAGAAGGCTCAAGGAGGATGTCACCACAGTTTTCCAGTACTTGAAGAGCAGCTACTAAGAGTACAGAAGCTCTCTCTTCACAAGGAGACACATGGAGATGACATGGGGCAACAGGTTTAAGTTACACTGGGAGAGGTTTCGTCTTGATGTAAGAAACAAATAGCGAAAACAATTATTCACAGGAACAACGTCTCCAGGGATGAGGTAGAGTCCCCATTGCTGGAGGTTTTCAAGATGCAACCGGACAGGGTGCTAAATCTCATCAGGCTCCCTTTCCCATGAAAGGCAGGATCTTTTGAGGTTCGTTCCAACCTGGACTGTTCTATGGTTCTATGAAAATATACCGTAACTTAATTAAATACTTATTCAAAGCTTGCTCACTACGGACATAACATTTACTTTCTTTTTCCTACCTCTATTCTTCCCATTTCCAGTGTAAGGAAAGTCTAAGTAGGGATAATTTAATAAAGATGGTATTCTCAGCACTGATCTGATCCTACAACGCAAATGGACTGAAACCATGGGAACATTAAACAGAAATTCTACATTTTCCAATCTTCAGTTGAGAAGCAAAGGTTACTGGCATACTTTTTACAAACAATAACTATGCAAAATGAACATTCATCTCCCCATTCTCATTGCTAAACATCTATTACCAAAGATCTGCCATGCTACTTGCTATGAACTCCAGGATGTCTATCAGTGAGACAGAAGTGAAGATACTGTTAAAGAATTCCCAACAAAAAGAAGTGTCTTTTCAGTTTAACATGGTTATCAGAAAAAGTTAAAGTCACCACAAATTATTTAAGTCCTTCACAGAAAAGCTTGCACACACTTTTTGAAGTAAGGAGAATAAAAGGATTAGTACAATAAAGTCCTGCTGCAGAAAGCCAGTGTTATACAACGTACTGTAATCCGTGTCCTACATTAATCCAGTAGTCTTGTAAAACATTAAACTAGCTTCTAAAACACCACAGAAAATAAAATCAACGGGCCAGTAACACAGAGCACAGAAGACTGAAGTACTTGGAACAGCTCTCACCAAAACAAACTCCTAGCGACACCTGTACAGGCTTCCACCTGGAAAGTCCCATTAAGAGGAGGTGAGCAGCCTTCTGTACTTAAAGCCATTCCACAGACTACTCTTTCAGAGCAGAATAAGGAGTTTAGGCTTCAGTGAACTTTAAAACATTTATCTTTCATTACAAATACAAATGGCCTTGCCTTTTCAGATTTGTGGAAATGAAAGATGGAGTTGGAGAGGGATCCCAGGACAAGAAGACATGGCAGAACTCAGAATTGTCATCTTTCTCTGTCTCCAGCTCAGCACACCGCCACCCTCCCTACACCATATAACAGGGGTGTAGAGCAGAAAGGGAGCTTAGCTTCCACAGTGCTAAGCATTTCTTGATCAAAGAGACTTGATGTCACCTTTCTCAGAAGAGATGGGACAAATGGGTGGAGGGCAGCTAAGTGGGACAGAAGTAAATAAATAAAGTCAAAAAGCCAGCATAGATCAAAATATCCAGGACAAAAAGCCGAAATTTGATAAGTGACACTTATGCACTTTGCAACCCTCTTCAGGCAAAGGAGAAAGAACGGTAGCTAACGGTCACATACAATGGTAAGGAAAAGGACATAGATGAGTAGAACAAGCAAGTCTGAAAGAGACAAAGTGAGTAGAAAACAAGCTTATGTATACTAAGTCCTGTGACTTGATTAATAATGCAGGTCAATTCTTTAATCTATGTGGTTTCTGAAAGTAAAAAAAAAAATTGCACCTCCTAAGTAAAACAGTATCTAGCATATAAACACACTTCCACTTTACCAGTAGTCTAGTTTTACGGACTACACATTTTTGAGTGTTTCCATACAACGTGTCACATGTGTAGAGTCTTTCCCAAGTAGCTAGGCATAATGCAGCAATACCGTTAAATGCCCCCGTTAGCTGTCCCAAAAGAAAGAAAAAAACCCATATAACTTTACCAATTCCTTTTTATCCTTCACACCTTCCTCCTGTAATATTCCCAAAAGATTTACAGCCAGCTGCTGCCTGGTATTTCCAGAATCATCCTCTGATAGGCAGTCCCCAACTGTTGCAGAAGATAAGATCTGTAGTACAGGCATCACCAGAGTAAGGGCTGTGGTTGAGTTCTGGGTTTCTGAACAGGAAAGGAACCTGTAGGCTATTTAAGACAAGGTACAAAGATCACATAGGGGGAAAAAAGAACTAACATAATTTGTACTTTTAGGCATGACAAACATTTTTAGGAAACACTCTGGTCAAGCAAAGTAACAGTCTCCAGAATCACAGTAACGTGCATACTAGAGTTGAAATACAAAACAACCTTTGGTAAAACTTCAATTCTGTTTAGACCCCTATACATTTCTGTTGTTCATAGCAAAGTAGTTGATGGCAGCACAAAACACAATAACGGAATATAGCACAGTTCTGTGCTTTTACTGGCATCACTCCACTAATCACAACTGCTAAGTTCAAAGCTCAGCCAAACACTGCCATGACTGTCAGGCCTACTCTTTCAAGATCTGTAAAAAGAAACCACTCAGGATGCACGAATGTCAGCTGAGAATATCCTGTTGTTGACTCAAAAATGAAACTGGTAAGCTTCAAGACAGTAGGGAGCTTAGAATACAGTAACATCCATGTGGAAAAGTCAGTGTAGCAGGAAAAATTACCTTTATTGCCATTAGATCAAGTGTTACTTTTTAAATTCAGGAAAAAATCCTGCTTATTAAAAAAAAAAATTACCACCCAATCCAACTTCAGGGGAATGCAGTGCTTATTTTCATCAACATGAAGAAACACACAGTCTTAAGAGCATGGATTCCTCTTGCACAAGAGCAGCTTTACCTAGACTCAAGACAGACTTCTGCTGACTTTCTGGTGTCTGCAGCAGTAGAAGCGCTAGCCCAATTACACACTGTTCCACTGGAAATACCTACAATGAAAAAAGAAAGAGGTTAGAGTCTTTTTCTTTTTCAATGGCATTAAACAGTGCAAATGGGTAACAACCAAAATGTAGAGAGTTTCTTTGTGAACCATAGTGAGTGCACACACAGCGACACAGCACGTGCAATGAAGAATATGAATAGTGTAAAAATAGTATTTTAACTTAATAACTGCCACATTTTCATTTGTTACTTTGTTCAAACCATTTTAGCTTTGTTTAAACCAACTCCCATATTAAAAGGTCAACTGATATTATAGACAGAACCAGTTAAGTTTTTGCCTTCTGAAGGTCTCCAATCAAGAAAAAAAATATTAGAAGCTTTTGCAACACTGCTCACTTGTAGATGAATGCCATGTATCAATGTCTCTGAATACTGTCTTAAACGTGACATTCTTTAAATTCAACTATTTTACCTTTTTTCCCATGAACTCATACCTCTTTCAAGAGCAAAAAGTTGTCCTCTATTAAGGAGATCAAAGATGAGCATTCTCCCGTTACATTTAAACACACTTCACAGAAGCATAACAGTTGCAGACAAAACTGGGATAACTGAACTTTCCAAAACACAGGATAGCGCAGTAGGCTGAGGAATAGCTCTTGCAGAAAAAACGAGGCTTCTGTAACTTGCAGTAAGTCTTTAACCTGTAGAGAGGTAGTTAACAACATAAAATCAAAACACATTCTAGTTCAGCTCCTCTTTCCTATCTATGCAGAACTTCCCAAGTTTAGAATTAGTTGTATTAGTTCTGCAATGTTTCCAATACAAATATTACTAAGACTTCAAAGAAGAGCATTTATAAACTAAATCCAGAAACCTCTTACCCAACTTCCCTGAAAAAACAATAGATGAACTGCATTTTAATGTTTTGAAGTAAAATTAGAAACATGTTAAAGAATAAAAAGATTTCTTGGTAGCTGATGAGAAAAGTCCTTTTTTCCTCAAAAGCAATACCAAATTAATTCAGCTCTCGGGGTTCTCTCAGCAACGTAAACCAAATTATGTTGAGATTTCATAAAAGAGTTAAATATTCTTGTAAGGGAAACATCCTGCTATAGGATATTTCCTCTGTAATGTAACCAAGATTTTAACGCACGTCTCAGAAGAGAAAGGCAGTGCTGTTACCGCCTTCTACAGCGGCGTGTAATCTACCCACTACAAAAATGAAAAGCTTGAGTGCAATACCCAAAAATAGTATATCCATACTTGAAAGACAAGTAAAAGGATTTCAAGAAACAGGTTGCCTCAAAATCCTAATGTGTGAGATGAGAGCATTTCTGCTTTTGAAAATTCTAGTTCCAGACAAACCCAGCTGTTTCGATCCTGACTCTGGAGCCAGCACTAAGGATAGCATCCCAATTTTTAGTCCCTTGGAACAAATTCGATGAACAATCTGCTCTTATCAGGTGTCATGTCCACTGAATTTTTCAGCACAAAAGTCTGTAGTTGACAAGCTGTACTTTTGACAGCTTGGTTGATATTGTCAGACAAAATGACTAAGAAGCATTTCAACATTTATACAACACAGAGGATCAAATCAGGCTAAGCTTAAAGGAAGGACAAGAAGAACTTGAGGTTCAGAGAAAGAAGGAGAAGCAATGACAGGTTATAAAAAGTCCATCAAATAGGCTTCTTGAGGTAACTATTCCCCTTTCCATTGTGAAAGCTCTATCTCAGGGAAGACAAAAACATCCAACTATTAATCTGAATTTTAAAAAATGCAACAGATTTCTAGTTTTAAAAAAAAAGTACCAACAAGCATGAAGGAAGGAAAGGTTCATAACTAATTTTATAAGTCTTCTTCAGTGCCATTTTTATGGCTAAATGTTACCAAGTCAGAAGCTTGGTCACACATTTAGGACACTGTGTTATACTGAAGTTCAGGTAGACAAAATTAGAAATATCCCTGTGACTAGAAAAAGTCAGCATGTACCTGTCATCACAGAGTAGATCTGAACCAAGATAAATGCATATAATACAAGTCATTATTAATCCAAAAGCTTGTGAAAAGTACAAACCAGTAGAAAGTAGACTTTACTAGTAAAATTCCTCAGGAAGAACATGCTACCAAGTATTCTCATATCAAGCCTGTTTAGGTTTACATTATCAATACTATCAAATCCTCTCTCTATTGCAATAATACCAGAACACCTCATGTTTGACTGAATATATTTGAAACTGAAGATGTTGCTCTAACATTAAAGAGGAGGGAAAAGGTACACAGGTACAAAAAAGCTTAACCAACATCACAGTAAAGCATGAGGTAACGCAGAGCTATTAACCTTAGCCAACACCCTAGAGCCCTAACCACAGGGGACAGAAAGATTAAATCTCTAGCTCACAGCAAGTATCACTGTGCACTTAAAAATACACTCAAAAGCTTTAGCATATTCCAGAGGCATTAAGTTTTGTTTTCGGATCCACTAATCCCTCTGTTACAAAGAGTGAGAAAGAAATACCTAGGAGTACCTAAATCATGCTTCTTATAGCTTTAATATTCACTTTAATATTATCTATGTTAAGTTAAAAATTGCATGTTTTTGACAAATATCTTACCATTTAACAACATTCTCTCTCATGAATACCTCTACAAGTTTACTGTATGTTTACTGTGGCAACCAGTGGCAAATAATTACGGTAAACGTGTTTAAACTTACAGCTTACCAAGTGTATCAGATTTGAACAATTAAAAAGTTTCACCTTCTACCAGAAAGAGCCAGTTGTTTAGATTTCTGTACTACAGACAAATTAGGTCTACACGAAATGGAAGAGGATGCTATATTTGCACATCATCATCAAAATCATAATCACTTTGATATAATTTATTTGTAAAAGGTGGAGCTGGGCAACAACTGTACCTGAAGGTGTGGAATCAAATCATATAGAAGTTGAAGAATCTGGCGTTCCAGCACGGAGGGTGCTCCTTTGTGCTTTGGACCATGGGGCTGAAGTAAGACCTTCAGCAAACCCATTCGCAGTTCAGCATATTCCCGTAGCTGAGAGGGTTCACAATACAGGTATCTTAGAAATGGAGCCATTATGCCAACACATGAACTCTGTGCCCTGCAGTTCAAGAAATAAGTTTGCCAAGACTGCTTTCTCCCGAAAACTTAACAAACAGCAAGGAAAACCCATACCATGTGACATTCCCTTCAATAATTTACTGGATGCAACTAACAGAAAGGTGTTATGAGAGGCACTACTGAATCTCACAAATAAAACCTTTGACTTATTAGGACGAAGTACTGTCATGAGACCTTGTATAGCAACCACACAATGAAGTGCCATTGGGAAACAACTCAATATTTAAGAGTGAATACTACTGAAGATACACTTGCAGATTATGATACTTTTAATTATGATGATGCAGAGCTTTACAAAGAGCTCAGCGATCTACATCAACATACGTGACGCTTCTTGAGGTCATGCTTAGGAACATGGTTTAGTGACGGACTTGCTAGTGTTTGGTTAGTGGCCGGACTCGGTGTTCTTAACAGCCTTTTCCAACCTAAATGATTCTATGATTCTATGTTCTCAGTCTAGAACTTTATTCTGTAGAAACCTTTGCACGAAAAGCAGCAAAGGAAGTTTAAGATATTTTTCTGTTCAGCCATAACAACTCTTGTTTTAATTCAAAACAAGCCACCAGCAAGAAATCCACAGTTCATTCCATCATTCAGACATTTGACAGGACTCTTCATGAGTCCCAGATTTAGCAGTTGAGTGGAAGAACAAGTCTGCAAACAGTATTTTAAAAATACTGATCAATTAAATTGAACAAACCACATTTCTGCTTTCAAATCTTACTGTTGATCATGTAATCTAGGCCCACTAGAAATTCAAGAAATTAATAATCTTATTTGTTTACTCAGAACAACAGAATACACAAGTCTATTTCACTACACTATTGCTCTGTTGGATTTGTATGAGTCTTCCAGAAAACAGGAGGAGATACTTTTTATCTGAAAAGCATACATATAGGTGTAAATTCACGGAAAATTGAATCAACCTTTGGCTTGAAGGTTGCCGCACCATTTAGTATCTTACACTGAGGCTTTTGTGGGATCGAGTGCACCCTCAGCAAGTTTGCTGACCACACCAAGCTGTGTGGTGTTGTGGACACGCTGGAGGGAAGGGATGCCATCCAGAAGGACCTTGACAGGCTGGAGAGGTGGGGCTGTGGAAACCTCATGAAGTTCAACAAGGCCAAGTGCAAGGTCCTGCATGTGGGTCAGGGCAATCCCAAGCACAAGTACAGGCTGGGCAGAGAATGAATTGAGAGCAGCCCTGAGGAAAAGGACTTGGGAGTGCTGGTGGATGAGAAGCTCAACATGAGCCGGCAATGTGTGCTGGCAGCCCAAAAAGCAAATTGTATCCTGGGTGCATCCAAAGAAGTGTGGCCAGCAGATCGAGGGAGGTGATTCTGCCCCTCTGCTCTGCTCTCGTGAGACCCCACCTCGGATACTGTGTTCAGCTCTGGAGTCCCCAACACAAGAAGGACATGGAGCTGCTGGAGTGGGTCCGGAGGAGGCCACCAAGATGATCCGAGGGCTGGAGCACCTCTGCTATGGAGACAGGCTGAGAGAGTTGGGGCTGTTCAGCCTGGAGAAGAGAAGGCTCTGGGGAG